GTCCAAACCTAACTCCCTAGCTACCTTATCAAGCTCATCTTCTTCATCAAGCTTGGGATAGGAGACAGCAACCTTCTTTCTTGATGAACCTGATTGAGAGTCATCGACAACCTGAGGTTTCTGCTTACCTACGTGTCTTTTGGCTGCAGGTGGACCTACCTCAATCTTTTTCGAGCCTGGTCCATTTGAAATCGGTTTGCCTTCCTCCTTCTTTAAGGAGCTTGGCTTCTTCTTCTGTACACCTGATGGCACTGAAGAGGCTGACTCAGGGTGAAAAAGATCATCAATGTTTCCACGAAAAGGCCTTGCACGATCAATGTCACTTCTGACAATGTCATCTGGGATCACGTAGTCCTCCTTGATCTTGTAGATGGTCTTGCCCTTCCAGAACTCTTCACTCTGTTCAGAAAACCTCTTCTTCTCAGTGCGCCAGTTGTCCTTGTGAAGAACCTTCTTCTTGCTCTTCTGGAATTCCATGTGGGTTTCTCTCTCATCACGAAGTTGATCTTTTGGAATTGGAGTTTTCTCTGATCGAGTCATCTCATGTAAGTTCATTCTCTTGTCCTTGTGGTGCCTGATGAGTTCACGACGTAGTGGATCAACCTGCCAGTAGTCACCAGTCACCAAAGCTTCTCCTTCATGATCATCTTGTTTGACAGCAATCTGACTGTACTCAAAGTGATCGTGTTGTGAATAGAAACTTTTGACTTGTGGAGTCTTGAAATGAACTTGGCTCATGTACCATGCTACATCTTGTAGGTCGAGAATGAGATGAGTACTAATGGCTGTCCTCAAAACCATTTTTCTCATGCCAATACGTGCACAGGACAAATAAGCCTTCTCTGGAGTAAGTTCAAATTGAAATCCAAGGTTTCTCATCTGTGGAAGTGACATCAACAATGGGACATCACCTTCTTCGACAATGTCGAATTCTGTAAACTGAGTGTTCCATCCATGATCATACATGAATATCACGAGCTTCTCAGTACATTTTGATTGTTGTGAATTTGCAAAGAAGAATCTTGAACTTGTTGGCTGAATTTCATACCAGAGTCCACTGTTGGGATGTGAGTCAACATATCTGCAAAATGCTTCAACTGCTCGTCGTGAGCCCATAGCTCTTGTGCATCCAAGATCCAGAATACACACAGTTGGTGGTGCAGAATTCTCTGTGTGAAAAGCTAGTCCTTTCTCACATGCCAGATCAGTCTGTACAGTATGAAATGAAAAAGCACTCTGCTGTGATGGTTCCTCTATCTCTGTAGAGCATCCATATGAAAACAATGATGTGCCTTTTGCCAATGGCTTCCATGAAGCCTCACCTTCTTGAAGACCAACTTGCCTGGGCACACGAGCTGGACGTCGTTGTACACCTTGTCGAAGTGCATCAACTTCTCCAACCAGAACAGGGAATCTTTTCATTTCCCTTCTGTTTTGATGTGCTGTTGCATCACGTTGGTTCTGTCCTCCACGACGAGTGCGTCGTTGTACTTCTTGTTGTTCATACGTGGGTGTCAAAACATCAACATGTGCTGGCTCTGTCTCTGCAACATCAACACGTAATGGGTCAGTTCTTCCAAATGCAAAGAAACCATGACCAGAACTTGATGCAGCAGAAGAATAATGAGCTTGTTGAGTTTGTCGATTCTGTATGGCAGGAACTGATGTGGTCTGAGGTTGAACATAGTTCGACTTGCCTTTTCCATCTCCTGGCTTTCCTCCTTTGCCATCATCATCCTTGCCTTTCTTGCCTTTCTTTCCTTTTCCTTTTCCTTTTCCTTTCCTCTGGAAGTATCCATACTCATCCATGTAGTATGAATCATCATAGGCCCAATAGCCTTCATTCCAGGTTTGATCATCGGCCCAATAGCCGTCATAGTTTTCATTCCATTCATCTTCTTGCCAATCTTCTTCATAACCTTCTTCACTCACCATGTGAGCACGGCCTTTTCTTCTTCCTTTACCTTGGCCTTTTCCTTTTCTTGATCTGAAGAACCTTCGTCCTCCTCTGCCTTTTCCTTTTCCTTTTCTCTTTCCTTTACCTTTGCCTCGTCTGATGTATTTGCCTTGGAACCTTCTCTGATACCATGTGAAGTTGGCGTCATCATAAACCCAGAAAACATCTTCTAAGGCATCCAGGAATCCTTCTGCGCCGTCTTCTTCATCTTCGGCCCAATAGCCGTTGGTTCCTTCTAATTCACCTTCATCCAGTACGAGGAAAGATCTTCTCTGTGCCATGCCAGAGGGTTGCATCAATGGATTGTCAACTGCTGTTTTGGTAGTGCAAAACATTTCCAAAAACAGGTCACGTAGTTCTTGAATGTTGTATTGATCGAGGGTTCGTCCACGATGTGTCATGATACTTGTGAGTGTATTTCTCTGATCTTGACTCAGGTCAGCTAGACTTACAAAAATCAATGCTAGCAAATTTTCACCCAGTGGGAATGCTTGTCGCTGTACTTGTCTACGATTTTCCTGAAATTGTCTGAATGCCGCTAGTGCCAGTTCATCTGACCAAGGAACAGGTACATGGGGTGTTCCTGAGGCTGCTGCTACATCAGCTCTCTCTTGTTGATCTCGTTCATGTTCTTGACGTCGTTGCTGAACAAACAGGATTGCTTCAGGACTAGTCACTGTTACTTCTGGAAGTAAATCCATCCAAGACTCAATAAGTCTATTGCCAGTGAGTTGAAATCTAGTCATCCACTTCTGAAGATCCATGGTTCCTCTATTGAACTTCATGAACTGCATGAAACGGTATAAGAACACGTTCTGGGCACCTTTGATAAAATGAGGTCGTAGAAATCTTTTGAAATAAGCTACTCCTTCATAAGGATCCCTGAGCATTTCTCTATCCAATAGTCTCTTGTATTGTTGAGCATCTCCTTCCAGTCTATTGCGCAAGGCTGGACCACGTTTCTCTGGTTCTAACTCCGTAATGTCACACCAGTCATCGATTGCATCCTCAAAAGCAAAGAAGCTGGTTCTCTCATCATATGCTGGAGCTACCTTTGTGGTCATTTGTTGCGTCATATGAATCTGTGTCTGCTGGGGTGCTCTTCTCATTGCATAAGAGTCATATTGGTTCCATTCATTTGCATCGACAATGTCGAAGTCATCATCATCATAGCCATGGCTTGACATTTCTTGGGCTCTACCTGGAGCTCACCCTCAATGAGGGATCACAGCTCCGCTACCACTTGAAGAGGGGCCCTAGCGTCTACTTCAAGATCAGCTAAGGCGTCTTCCCCAATGACAGCACTTGTTTTACTCAGCCTGTTGCCGGTCCGTGCTGGTCTACAGGGTTACTCTATATACCTCTTGAGCCTTGAAGGGCGCATATAAATGTGCTCAATACTCATGCATGTACCTATGTAGGTATTAGGTCGAAACAAAAACAAGGGCGCAGCGCCTCCCCCCAAAGCAGAATGCAAGCACCTCTTCTCACATGTTACGTTGCTAGTTTTCAAGAGAAGGTTGGTCATGTGATACTCAGGGATGTAAATACTGTGCAAAATGCATCTTACATGAAAATCAAGTATGCAGGCAAAGCAAAAAAAAAAGCAGAGAAGCAAAAAAAGCAGAGAAGCAAAGAAACAGGAAACGCACAAAAGCAAAACAGCAGAAAGGCAAAGAAGCAGGAAAAGCAGAAAAGCAGAGAAGCAGGAAAAGCAGGAAAAGCAGAGAAGCAAAGAAACAGGAAAAACAGAAAAGCAAAAAAGCAGAAAAGCAGAGAAGCAGGAGAAGCAGAAAAGCAAAAACGCATAAAAGGCGAGAAGCAGGAGAAGCAGAAAAGCAAAAAAGCAGAAAAGCAGAGAAGCAGGAAAAGCAGGAAAAGCAGGAAAAGCAGGAAAGCAGAGAAGCAGGAAAAGCAGGAAAACCAGGAAAAGCAGAGAAGCAGAGAAGCAGGAATCCAAAAATAATTCCTGAACCTGATCAAAAAAAAAATCCTAAAATAATTAGCCCTCCATAAATTATATATATATATATAAATATCTTCAGGTAAACCAATAGTAGATATATCATTGATGTACGCAAAAAAAGTATTGAACCACAATAAATGAACCATACAATTCCATGTTTCACATTCAAGCGCTACAAACAGCATTTGCAGCCTACGATGTTGGCCAGAGGAACCCCGTCCAACTGATGTTTGAGCCTGGTAGGCACCATTTTCATATTTTGTTGGTGAGTGTTGGTTCCAACATGGAAAACATCGGTATATCGGCTATAAAATCAGAGAAAATACCCTCTGGTAAACTAACATAACTATGGAAAATCACCAGTTTTAATGGGAAAATCCACTATAAATGGTCATTTTCGATAACTATGTTAAATTACCAGCGAAAATACACAATATCTACACAATAAGTTTCACCACGTAGACTTTCAGAAATATCCCTTGGTAGATCTCCAAAATTGCTTGCAAAAATCAACATACTTGCTCATGTGTGTGCCGAAAAAATCCTGATGTTTTAAGAACAAATCCAACACGTTTGTTCTTCTTGGCAAAATTCATCAATTTGTCCATTTGTTTGCTCAAGTTTTATTTTTTTAATGGTTGAATCCCAACTGTTGTTGTTAAAATCCCGGTTTTTAGAGGCAAATCCACATTTGTCTTGGCTCAACTCCCCATTTTGGTCACATTTCACCAGCTAAAACTCGTGCTTTTTGCGTAGGGAATGGATGGGAATGACGACCAAGCCCCCAGACCCACTCCGTTGGCGCAGCATTGGCCCGTGGCGCATCGAATGTGAAGCCACTGAAGTGAAGTCCTTCCGCGGGGCGAGTTGATGGTGGGAATGATGTCTGTTGTTACAGATATGAAAGAGGAATTTTACCTGTGATCACCCTGACATATTCATATTCTGACATAGTTTCTGACATATCATCTGGAAGTACATGATGTAGGGCATGTGTAATATATGTATACATTCTGACATTCATTCTGGTATTCCATCTGGCATCTATTCTGACATACTTTCTGGCACCTAGACATTCTTTCTGGCATTCTATCTGGCATCTATTCTGACATCATTCTATCTGACATCTAATCTATTCTGACATTTTTTCTGACATTCTTCTGGCATTCTATCTGACATATGTTCTGACATCATTCTATCTGACATCTAATCTATTCTGACATTTTTTCTGACATTCTTCTGGCATTCTATCTGACATATGTTCTGACATCATTCTATCTGACAGTCTTTCAAACATTCTATCTGACATGATCTGACATGTATGTTGGCATTCTGGCTGGCATTCTATCTGGCCTGTCTGGCATGTGTTCGGGTCCAGGCGTGGCCCACTGCATCCGGAGCTCGCGATATGGCACACAACGATTGAACAACAATTGAATCACACAGTCACAACGAGCTGCAAGAAGAGCGCACCAGGAGAAAAAAAAATACAGGACTAGGAGGAAGACTAGGCGGAAAAAGAAGAAGAAGAAGAAGGCGAGAAAAAAGAAAAAGAAGAAGAAGTTGCACCTGTTGAAATTTAAATACCCTCGCCTGGCAGGTAAGGAATCAAGTAGATATGTTGAGTAAATATGTGATATGAATGCAAAATGCAGTGATATGTGTATAATAAATATTATTATTATCATTATTATCATTATCATTATTATCATTGTTATCATTATTATTATTATCATTATTATCATTATTATCATTATTAAAATTACTATTATTATTATTATTACTATTATTATTATTGTTATTATTATTAATATATATATACTAATATTATACATATATTCATCAGAAACAATGAAAACAATGAAACAGGCCCCAGAAATCCATGGCTCCTGTGGTTGCCTTGCGGGGCCCACCCCCACCATCGATGCCACCGGGCATTGCTTGACATTTGTCCCAGCAGTAGGGGCCCGTCAAACCTGGCGGAAAAGTCATCCATATCTCGGATGGTTGGGTGAACTGGGTGATGGTTGGATTTCAAGATAAACTTGGCTAGAAACCAACCGATTGTGGCTAATCCCTTCAGCCAGCATCAAATTCATTAACTGACACTGGAAGAATTACATGCTTCAATTGGTACAGTAATGGGCTGCCATCATCATTATATCATCATTTCCATAGTGTCACCATGAAGAACTCATTTTTGGCCAACCCGTTTTAGGTAACCGGCAACCGGCTACCGTTAAAACCGCCTATGAGGGGACAATGCCAGTCGTCTGAAATGCAGGTGTCGTAGATGTCGAAGTGCAGCTTCACGCGTTCCTGATCACCTCAACGCGCCCGAAAAGCCGATCAGCGTGGGACCCAGTAGGACGTCAGAAAATACGGAAAGATTGGAAGGAAATGCGAAAATATATGCTAAAAACATCTACAAATATCAAAATGATCAATGATTACCTGGCATTGATTTTATGGATTCTATTCTAAGTACGAATGATTTCCTGATCTCCTGAGTACTGAGTGAATCCTTCGTGGATTCCCAGTTCCATCTGATCGGCTACATGTGAAGAACTCACAGCGCTCACGAAAGGAATCCCACATAAAAATTCACCAGGAATTTGATCCCACCTTTTCAAGCCAGGTAGAAGTATGTATCCATATGTATCCCATGGTATCCCCATCCCCGGCATTGACGATGCTGCCAAGTGGCCATCTTTGTAGGGAACCTCCCTCAGGTGCCCGAAGCTGACCTCGGAAACTCCAACGAGTTCACTGACGAACAACGGCACAGGCTGAGGTGAATATGACCTCGAAGTTGGAAATGGTTGAGAATTGCTTATCTATGTTTATCTCATCTTTCTCAATTTTCCAAACAATAAGATCAACATAGATATAAACATAGATAAACAGAGATCGATGTAGAAGATTCCAAACAAAGCATGTTCAACAAAATCAAGGGGAGACATCAAGGGGAGACCGTGGTTTTTTCAGCGATCAGTAGCATTCAGTAGCCGCGGGGCCGTGTCGCTGGCGCCCTCGTCGAAGCCACCGTTGCCAATCAGAATCCGCAAGGGATAGTGCCGGAACCTCGGAAACTCGTCTGGCCGGTCAGAAGGCCATGGCAAGACGAGAAAATCATGAAAATCACAGCAGGTGTTGAAGGATGTTGGGTGTTGGGAGAGGTGAGATGTTGAGAATGATGGATATACATAATTGAATATAATTGATAGATATAGCATTGCCATATAATGTAGATGAGATATGTTGAGATAAATCACGAATCAACATGTGTTGTTTGTCAAAGTATCTTTAAATATCTATTTCTATGGGCCATTTTCCATAGCTATTAAAAAATATAATAATAATAATACCAGAGGGTAATCCACCATCAATGCATGGGGTGTTATGCTCCCATCAGCTTAGCTCGCCATCAGGAAAATGTTGTCATCATATGGGGGTTGTCATAGTCATGGTACCCCAATGGCTGGATGGTTTATTTCATGGAACATCCATCTATAAATGGATGGTTTGGGGGTGCCCCTATTTTAGGAAATCCAATATACTCTGACGGTCAATTTGATTTCATGCCTTCATTGAATGCATCAATCCGGATGAAATTGATGCTCTACCACTGTAGGAGTCTGGCTCTGAAGAAAGTCAGACCGACATGTCAATAAAGATAATGTCAATAGATGATGTTAGAATGACTTCACTTTTAAATTCAGCGGTTGCATCCATATTTCAAAGGCTATTCAGGTCCAAAATGTTCCAAACATTGGTCGATGGGTGGAATGTGGAATCGCCTTCACGAAAAGCGGCAGCTTCTTTGAAGAAAATGTGTGGCCTCAATTTTCCACATATGGAAAAATCTGTAGATTGTACTTGGCGTCAATGTCCCAATCATAAGCCACAAATGTCTATTGTATTTTCTCAATAAATGGATGATCAGGGAGGTATAGTATCAATGGAGAAAAAGAAAAATGTTCAGTATAAAATAATAAATCCTACTAAAAAATCGGCGATGCCTCATGAAATCGGAAAATCACCATTTCGATGGATTTTCCCAGCAAAGTCTACAAAGCTCCATGTATAGTTCGGGGATTTCCCAGCTGCCCATGTTTGCCGCTGGGCAACTCTTGAGCCATCTCGGAACGCGAAGGTTCGGATTGCCATCGGCTGTGCTTGTGCCCTGTGATCCACACCTCAAAACCAGCTGACATTTATGACATCAAATGGTGAAGATTCATCATGATATCATAAATTGTTGATTCATAATCAAGTTTATTTGATTTTATTTGAGTTATGATCTTATGGTGATGTTGGGATGATTTATGATATCTATGGGATGTTTACCTGTGTAAAACCCGTGGAATCCCCTGTAGTTCCTTCCCCATTTTGGTTTCAATGGATTGTTTGGATTGTTTGAGGTGAGGGAACCATCTACAGGAAACATCAGCCATCAGGAAACATCAGGAACCCCGGGTTCCATCGGAAACACCGACCATTTTGAACCATCAATTCATGGCCCAGATTTCCCCATCGGACTTTTGAGGACCCCGCATCCAACTGTCTGATGAGGCTCCAGTCCTGCCAAGGCCCAAATCTATTTGGCTATGGGTCAAAACCCTATGCCCCTGGTGAACATCAAAATAGCTGGTAAATGGATGTTCATCCCCCTAAAAATGGTATTAATAGGTATTGATCCATACCCATTTGGGTCTCTGGAACCCTGCGCCCCCTGGAACGAACCCTGGAAGTTTTTGCGTCGTCTCCTTGCAGGCTTTCGCGAAGTTGTGCGTCATGTAGATGAAGATGCTTTTCTTGAGCCTACGACCTGTCCCCGAGCAACATGAAAAGGGTTAGCGCCTTGAAATCTGAAAAAAAATGGAAACCCAAGTGTTTTCTGGTCAAAATTTTGCCCTGTCTGTTCGAAACATCACCATCTTCTGTATATGTCCAAAGTTTGCCATCAATTGTGGTCATATCATAATTGATAATCACCATCAATTCTTTATCCAATGATTTATCCCAATCAATTAGGGCTGTAGAAACTAATTAACCATTTTCAATTGGTAAATCATCTGCAAGTGGGCCATGTTCATCCATTTGCCATCAGACATCACCCAGCCTTCCTCCAGAGAGTCCCGAAGGAAGCGACATTCCAAGGTGTCCCCACCTGAACCCATGGCATCCACAGCCACCTCAACGTGCGAAAAACGGTTCTCCGGTAACCATCCAAACTGTGGAGCTGTTTAATTGGTTATAATTGGTTATATCACCATCAGAAATTGGATGAAGTTGGAATTGAACCAGCCCAAGGCCCAAATAGGATCAAATAGGGATTTATGATGGTTTATTTCACGAATGGATTTCATTTGGTGCTATGGTTTTTTGTGGCAAACCCAATCCTATTTCATGACATGTCGATCAATTTCTTCGTTTAGAGAAACCCAAGAAACAATGTGTTAGGCAAATGAACCCCCCAGGATGGTTTCGACTGTATGGGGCTTAGAGCATACCAAATCAACCAAGAATGGGATGGTTGTAGATAATTGAACTGACCTCAATCATGATAAAGGCTCCAGTCGGGTCTTCAGTTTTGACCTACACTAATTTAATACTGAATAGAATATTAGAAAGTGGACATGGTTTGCCCTGGATGGGACACTTTCAGAGTGGGTACATCAATGGCTGCTGGGGCAGGCACAGTCATAACAATGCTCAGATAGAAGATTCACATGTTTTCCCTGCTCGTTTTGATGAAGTAGTTGTCCATCTATATGGGGACATGTGGGGATTATGATACATACCAAGAACAAGGTGAACAAGTGTCTTTTTAAAGTGGCGACTTTTTAAGTTGATCCAAGATGAAATGAAACAAAAAAAATAAGGCGGGTATGGCATATTACCCTCTGGTTATGTCAAAATAGCTATTGAAAATGGCCATTTATAGTGGAATTACCCATTAAAAATGGTGGATCTTTCCATAGTTTTTTGTATGTTTACCAGAGGGTATCCACGATGAAATCAGCCTGTTACGGATGTACAACTGCTGCACAATTCAAGCGCATCCCACCTTTCACCAGGGTCCTAGCAGTTGAACAAGCAACTTTATAGATATCTTATGGAAACATATTTCAAATCACCAAATGCTCATCCGAATTCTAGCAATCAAGATTCAACAGAAAGTATGTAATATAGATCTACATAGTAAACAAAAATATCCAAGAGCTATCAACTATCAACATTATTATTCATTATAGATACACTACTATAGATACAACCCCCATGACCGAGGTCCATCGAAAAGATGGGACATGCTGTGGGAACTTCAGCCCAGTCTCAGCTGGGGTGTCGTTGTTCCAATAGGTTCGGTACACCCCAGAAATGAGCCCAGCAATGAAGTGGACCTCGAGGGCAGATTGATGGAAGTTGATGAATCCGGATCTGGAATCCTTGGGAATCCTTGGGAATGGAAAAAACAACATGAGTGGAATATGATTGGATTCTAATCTTTATGGATTCATGGATATGTCACTATGTCCTTTTCAATGGTGGTTGTCCAGCTCCTAAATTTGGACAATACCATTTTATCATGTGTCTCAACATATGGAGGTTTCCTAGGGGTACCCCTAGTTATCATCCATTTATAGATGGATGTTCCATAAAATAAACCATCCAATGCTCGCTTGGGGATCCCCCATGATGGAAAGCCCCACATCTGCCAAGTCACACTGCTTCGATTGTCCAGGTTCAGATTGTACCGCAAAGGAGCGATCCACCTAAGCTGGGACCCTTGGGATCGAAAAAAGCAGCAGTAGCATCTGATAATTTGAGGGGAACTGAAAAATCTCCTTTTGATCATTCCTTTTGATCATCTATTTCATTCTATTTCTATCTACTAAATTAATCCAAATTATACATAATTATGCCATGTTCCATGTTCCATCGCCAACTCTGAAAAATCTGTTAAATAACATTAAGGCTATGAACGATGTTTCTCCCTCATTCCTTGCCCAGATGCTGCTCCTCGGGCTCCTGGGCTTCTATGATTATGATCAACCGATGAAACTCCACAAGACTATATGGTTTTTCTATGATCATTAGTGGAACTCGCTTGTGGTCAATATACCATTGGTCAATATACCATTAATAATCATTAAAAGTTGACATTTTCTATGATCCAGGTTCCAATTTCTATGGTCAATATTTGCTGTGCATGGATGTAGCTTGACAAAGTTGCACTAACCACAGCAATGGGTGGGATGTCAGCACCCCTGTCCTTCGCAGGAAGAAGTACCTGTAGGGTGTCGGCGCTGCACGGGCTAATGATGAATTTCACCAATAAAAATATGGGAGATTCACATGTCGATTAACTGGCTTAACCATCGAAAATTGGAATCAAAACTTGGAATATCATCAAACATCTAACCATCCAGATCATCCAATATCATCATCAAAAATCTAATCATCCAAGCAAAAATTTGGAATATAATCATCAAAAATCAAAATCCAACCACCACCAACGAGGGATTTCATCAAGAATGAAGCAGATGGGGTCCGAGGTGCCACACATTAGCAGAACTTCAAGTGCCCTGTGGAGAAACTGAACAGCAGGGGATGAAAATCGTTCACTATCAGCTACTTCGCTGTGCAAATTGTTTTAGGCCATGTAAACAAAACGGAAAAAATTGAATTTAAGATGATTCAAGTTTACACTTTTTGGAGAAAAGTAGGGAATTAACATGATATGCCATAGATTTTTACCATCTACCAGATTTGACCATCAACAATGGTGGCATATTGATCTTGACCCATTCTCGCCTGGGACAAGCCTGGGAAGGCGGTCATCCAGTTCTCACGCCACTGCCTGCAGTGACGTCGGCCCCGTTTCCCCGTGGGTCTCCCGTGGGTCTCCCGTGGCATCCCACTGGGTCTCCCACGAAAAGGTCATCTCGTAGTTGGACACCACACTGGTGTGGGCAGTTCCATAGTAGCAGGGCAGAAACGGGGTGAGCCTCCAGGCATCGGCGCGTGGCACGCGTGGCACGCGTGATTCATCATGATTCAATGGATTGAAGGGGAAATCCAGTGCCGAAACCCAAGTGTTTATCTGCAAACCTAGGGGTTTCCTGAAGATTCAGATGTGTCATTCAATTCTAAGACATTTAGCTTAAAATTGAGGGAAACTGCAATGTCAAGCCGCGGGAAAGTGGAAACATCGTTTTTTCTGCTTCCTGCATGTCGAACTACACCAACCTTCCACTTGAAAGGCGGGCACTTCGTCAAAAAAATGAGCCTGTAACGCCGATACTGTGCCAGCCATGCTGAGCCCAAGTCACCTCTACAACTGCCATAGGAGTGTCACTTGGGATGTGGTCTGGCTCATCCACCTACTTCGGGCTCTTCTTCACCTCAGAGACTATATCAACTTCTGAACTACCAAATCCCGTAGCCATGGCACTTCGTAGACATTCACCGGGGGACGGTTGCTGAAGGTAAACGTGTACTGAAACCCTGGAGCCTCTTGTTTAGAAACTTCCACTGGTTTTTCCATGCTGGCCAAATCGCTGTTCATCTGGCAGAACTTGTCCCACACGCCCAACCCCGCGGGGGTGGCTCGGCCGCCATGGTCCCAGCCACGAGGCATTGAAACGTTGGGATTGTATATCAACTTCTGAACTACCAAATCCCGTAGCCATGGCACTTCGTAGACATTCACCGGGGGACGGTTGCTGAAGGTAAACGTGTACTGAAACCCTGGAGCCTCTTGTTTAGAAACTTCCACTGGTTTTTCCATGCTGGCCAAATCGCTGTTCATCTGGCAGAACTTGTCCCACACGCCCAACCCCGCGGGGTGGCTCGGCCGCCATGGTCCCAGCCACGAGGCATTGAAACGTTGGGATTGTATATCAACTTCTGAACTACCAAATCCCGTAGCCATGGCACTTCGTAGACATTCACCGGGGGACGGTTGCTGAAGGTAAACGTGTACTGAAACCCTGGAGCCTCTTGTTTAGAAACTTCCACTGGTTTTTCCATGCTGGCCAAATCGCTGTTCATCTGGCAGAACTTGTCCCACACGCCCAATTCTTCGGGGGTGGCTCGGCTGCTATGGTTCCAGCCACGAGGCATTGAAACGTTGGGATTGTCATGGGCCACCACTAAAGCTTGAGGAATCACACTGGCCACCATTGAAACAAAGATCAAATTTGCCTTTGGAACCATGGCAGCGACGGGTGTTGTGAAACAAGGCTTCGGGGCGGTTTCAATAAACAGATCGGACCAAAAGATTGCTTGAGCCAAGATCGGACCAAAATGGCGGTTTCAATCAACAGATGCGGGAAAGTGGAAACATAGAGACATAGAGACCTCCGTTGACTTCACCCAGTGAAACATCGTTTTTTCAGTTTTTTCTGCTTCCTGCGTGTCGAACTACACCAACCTTCGACCTTAAAAAAGAAATGAGGTAACTGGCAGAAGTGTGCAATACATAAAGTGATCCAAGCCACACTTCACCCTTGCTGCACCCAAGGAAGTGAATGTCCTTGGACGCCCCGCAGCCATAGGTCCCACAGGTCTATGGGGAGATACCAACTGAGGAAGCTGAAGAAAATCTGCATCACTGGTTGATTGCTGGATGTTGTCAACCCAACACAAAGTACACCAGAATTTGAGTGTGTTTTTCAATGAACCTTTACAAACAAACTTCATTGTTGATCAAGCATATCTAGATTGATATGTGAGCAGAATTCATCGGAAGACCTTGAGTTTTCTGTGATTTTCCATTAAAAATCCATGATTTTCCATAAAAATCCATGATTTTCCATAAAAATCCATGATTTTCCATTAAAAATCCATGATTTTCCATTAAAAATCCATGATTTTCCATTAAAAATCCATGATGTTCCATAAAAATCCATGATTTTCCATTAAAAATCCATGATTTTCCATAAAAATCCATGATTTTCCATTAAAAATCCATGATTTTCCTCATAACAACCTCTTGGATCTGTTGGAAGCCTCACAGCCAGCCCCCTCTGAGTGCTCCAACATGGTTGCCCATCACCGGATAGACGCGATCCACAGGGACTTGGCCATGGAGATATTTCTGAAAAGCATGACGTGTGGCGTTGTTCACCAGTTGGCTGCCACCGCCATATGCGATGTCTCCCACCTCACTGGCGATGTCGCAGAAATTGAAGTGCACATTGGAGATCATTGGAGCATGGTGTTTGGATGTGGTGACCATCGTCTTCAATCGAACACATGTGATGTAAATGATGTAATTGACATCTCCTTGCAACGAAACAAACTATCTCCGAGTCACGATCAGAGCTGCAGTGGGTTTGGCTCCTTGATTCACGATGAAATCTTCTAAGCCTCGCAAAGAAGAACTCTTTTGGTTTTCAGCAGAAAACAATGGGGACAATTACAATAAAAATCAATAAAATATCGGAATTCAGGGTTTTCCCAAAGTTTTCAGACAACCCAATTTGCTTTGGCTGCACAAATGGATTTGGCGTAGACCAGGCGATGGTTTGGAGACCAAAATTGACCCGAGGCTTACACATCCCAATAATCACCCTGCGCATCCCTGCACCAAATTCCTACAATCTTGACCATGTGCCCCATAGACTTAACTTGCCGCAAGCATTCCTCCAAAAAAGAGGCGGAACTTAGGTGTTAATCGTGGTAAAAGCTCAACAATAAGCTATAGCAGCTGCCATAAACCCATCAAAATGGGGAGGTTGCGGCAGGGTTTCCCAGATTTTTCCAGTGCCACCCTCGTAACCCGCCTTCATAAAGGCTGAATGCGCCCTCATAGGCACATTTTCCCATGGGGAATGGCGTTGTCAGGTCATCGGCATGATTTCGGCTGTGACCTATGTCGGCCTTGATGTCACTTGGGGTCAATCATGCCCAGATTGGAAAAGAACACATGTCAGGCAGTGTTTCACTGACGGGCATAGTGATTATAATCACCAACAACTTGCATTTTAACCGCCAAAAAATGGACCGATGAGGATGGGGATATGACTCATGTCACTCGACTCACCAACGATAGGCATCTTTTAGCAGCAAACGTTGGAATTTGGCCCTCGATGCTTCCGCCAATAAACTGTTTTGTGGCTCAAAATGAACTCTTGGGTTGCTCCATGCCCCAGACTAGTGAGCTGATGATTGGTTGGTTAAAATATGTTCCAATTTGATCTTTATCATCACCCTCACCTGGTTTTCAAGCACAACATTCAAACCACAGCCCCAGCACCGCCCTGCTATCCCACACCATCCAAGTGGCCATGAAAAGAACGTTCAACACATCTTCTGCTGCTGCCAGGGGAAAGGCTCCCAACAGCCACATCCAACGGCCAAATGCCATGGACCCCAAAGCGCTTGCCATTGCAAACTCTTTGCAGACGATTGCCGGACGCAAAGTCATTTAAGCGATGATGCTTAGATTTTCGGAATCCTTAGATTTATTAATGTGTTTACTTTGATGTTCTGAGGGTTTTAATGCTGAAGGCTGTCGTTGAGCAAAATATTTGCGAACATGAGCGACGATGGCAACTTTTTGGACATGTGCAGGTTTGCCGTTATACCAGCGAGTACAAGTTCACGCATTCAGAAGTAGATGTTTGTTCGCATATACTATGCAAATGGCCCTGAACCCTGCACTTAAATCCACAAAAGAACAAAATATGTGTCACTACAAATAGGTGACCGTACTACTTTTAGATACTTTTAGCTGTTTCAACAAAGAAATGGTAGTCCTCAAAAACGAACACTTTTTGTCAAAACAAGTGCTTTTAAGTGTTTTGCTGGTTTCCGACCAAAATCCAACAGGAGCTTGATTGAATTTGGACTCAGGATTCCATTGGGTATGCATTTCCTTTGTTACTTTGTTGGGAAAATCTATGTTGGAAATATATCCAAATGTCGCGCCGTCCCCATTTGGTGGTCGAACATATATGTTTCGGACACTTGACTGGAACAAATGCCACTAAAATCCAACTTGACAAGTGATTCGTAGAGCTTATAACCCACCTATAAACGGGATCACTCTAGCTAGACAGTTGCCAGGTTGGATGATTCTCCAAGTAAGCAACATGCCACAATAGATGTATAGAAGAAAGACGCAAGTCGAGATTGCAGTAAGCAATAGAAAATAGGTGGTTAAAGAGAAACAAATCTGTTTAAGTTCCAGCTCTGACTGCACATCATTGTACCATCGTGGGTTCGGCTGTTGATTTATATAGGTGCACAGAAAAAAAAATGTGACTTTGAAGCAATCACAATGGAAGTTGATCCATGCATTATCCAAGAATGACTGCCTTTCAAATCATCTTGAAACATGATGACATATTATGATGACCCAGGTCCCCAAATCGATGCCATCTTTTTACATTGCTTCGGTGATGCAAAAAAGCAACACCATGGCGCCATCCGGCTACTGGTTTCCTCTGCTTTCAGGTGATGGTGGCCATGGCAATAAATGTCCAGAAATCAGATGTACCCTCTGGTTATTTAACATAGCCATGGAAAATCCCTCATCAATTTTTTAATGGGAAAACCATCTATAAATGGGCCATTTTCCATGGCTATGTTAACTAACCAGAGGGTACCTTTAGTAATTAGTATAAAATATGTGTTAAGAAGATGTCCCCTTCAAATAATGTGGCCTTTTTTTGGTGCGATACCTGAGGAAGTGGTGGCCTTGCATCCAGAGGAAACCTCTGCCGGATCTAAGATCCGGGTTCATTTGCGCGCAAGCCAGCCTCTATCCGATAGAAGCATCAAGTGGTTCCCTCATCTCTGGCTCCTATCAACAAGGAACCTGAAACTTCACATGTGGAAGTGGCGCATAGTGGTGCCACTTACCCACACCCAGGACCAATGAATAACAGATTCGCAGGGCCTATCACATCTATCACATCTATCACATCTATGAGTTTCTCAATATGGACCCCAAATCCACTGAGTCCTTTTTTTGATCCATTTCGGCTTTCCCTTGGTGGAAAGCACATCACTACCGGGCCCCTTTAAAAGGTCTCATCTGGTCCTCTAAGTTGACTGATCGAGTCACACGTTGCACCTTTGCACCTTTGGCAAATCCGCCCCCGCGGCGGCGTTTAGGTGTCGAAGTGGTCTATCTTCCAAACACGAACCTGAAGGCGGCTGAACAACTGCAAAGGGGCGCCTTTTAGCAGGGTGCACCCATAACCGTTATAACCCAATCTGTTTCTTATTGTTTCTTCGATGTTTGAGAAGTTGTGTAGTCTATTTTGGCAGACTACCAGACTTTGAAACACTCACCATTGGACCCTTCATCATCCTTCATCAGCATCACGCTTCGCAATTTTTTTCGGCATTTCACTCGGCCTTCTTTGTTCCATATCAACTGGGCATGTGTTCCTCAAATTCGTCCATGATCTATCACACTCAGTGCAACCTTATCCCACACCCTGAGGATGCACACAGTGCGGTCATGTGAAGCAGAGAAGAGATGATTGTCGATGGTCAACTGGCGATAGAAAGTGGATCAAGTGGCCCGGTTGACCGGATGAACATATGAACCCTGCTTGATTCAAACCGAAGGGTTCCTTCCAAAGAATGAAATGCAACTCAAATGTCGCCACCAATTGGACAGCCAAAAAAGAGGGTGATTGATCTGGGGTTGACAATCTTTAGTTCTTGCTTTTGTATGCTTTTGTGGGTACAGTATGGCTTTACCACCAGAAAAACTCCCGTTGGCTGCGTTGTAAATTCTGGTCAATGCCACTTCAGGTTTTTTGATGGCTGGTGGGCTCTCAATCTGAATGGCACTCTTCAAGGTCCTGAAAAGCACTGCAAGACCGAGCCAACATCAGCTATGAAACGGCTTCGCAACTACCCAAAACTAGGCATATGTCATGCTAGTTCGACCAGGGGGCAAATACATCTTAATTTAAATAGCATTATGACGGATTGTGATTATATAATTTATATAACTATAGTGACTATTCTATATGTCTATATGTATAACTGTAACATAGACTCCAACATATAACACACATAAACTATAACTATAACTATAACATAGACTATAACACCATATAACACACACATATATAACACCATTTAACACCATATAACTATATGTAACACGGTTCAAACATGTTTTAAAAAAACCTGGCCCCAAAAGGTGTCCCTGGGGTAGCCACCGGTCCCAGTAAGACATGTCAGATCGCACCAAATCGGAGATCGGCCCCCGGTGACCTCAACAGACCAATCGCGTGTGTTAGCCGATGGTAAGACATCAGACATTTTCTGCCATGTAGATCATGTAGATATTTTGAAAATAGATACAGATATATATATATATTATAACAGATATACGTATAATATATATATATTTATTTATTTATTTATTTATTTATTTGGAATGCCATGCGAATTTTCTGGAAGATTGCCCGAAGGTGTTGTGAAATGGGCTGAAACGACCCCCCGCTCCGGGTCCGGACCTTGCAACATATCCTTGCAATGCCTCGGTGCCGCGTAACCACGATGCGAAATCAGCGGTACCACCGGGAAAGATGCTCCATTGAAAATTGAGCAAATTTACTCCAAAAAAAGTGACCCAAGTCATTGTGAATATGAAGGTATGGCCAGGTATGGGTTTTCATGGTCTTTTATGTTTGGCAGCGGCAGAATAGGTGCATTTTCAATGATGAAAAAACTCCGTTTTACATCATGGCCATATCACGCGCAGATTCATGTCAGTACCGGTGAGAGTGAGGATACCCTCTGGTAATTTAACATAACTATGGAAAATCACAATTTATAGTGGATTTTCCCATGAAAAATGGTGATTGTCCATAGTTTTGTTAGTTTACCAGAGGATAATGAAAACCTTGTCATGACATCTTCATGTTCTTCATTGATTCATCAGCCAGATCTTCCACAGAACCTTCAAACAGATCTCTTCTTCACCACCGATTCCTTTCCAACAAAATCTCCGAGGCCCGCTACTCCATTCCAAAAAAAAGTAGAAATGGAATAAATGGAATGAAATAAACCATCCAGCGGGGTACCCCTTGCCCCATGACTATGGAAACCCCCAAATTTTCCTCATCGCCACGGCACAGATCTCCATCCCAGACCTTGATGATGGAGTCCTGCAGCCATGGGGGAAATGGAACGAAGGCAGATGAATCTGGGGAAATCACTTGGAAATATCACCCGGAAATATCATGGATATATCTATCCAGTTATCAAGATGAAGTTAATCATGACTTTTAAAAAAAAAAACTAGTAGAATGTGTGATTGTCGAGAATTAATGAAATAATCAAGGAAATATCTATTCAATAAGGAATTCAAGGAAATAATTAACGAATAGGAACGATTGTCTTGGAAATCAAATGTTTCAGTGAGGAGAGATTCTAGCAGATTCAAGAAATTGTTGGAATGAACTCTTGAACTGTGAAATGAAATTGAGATTGGGGAAAACATTCCTGATATTTGTTGCCCTTGTGGCGACTGGATGCAGAAAAATCTTGTCACCACAGGATGGTCAGTGTTACGAGCGTGTCTTAAAATGTTGGAGATATACTCACCATGAATATTCATTTGAATGAAAAAACATACTATAGTATATGAAAACACGGTGATTAGCCCAGATTAGCCATCAGATTTCGTGGATTTTCCATGGTTTTTCCATGTTTTCCATGGTTTTTCCAGATGTTCGGTGGTTTTTTCCTTGGTTTTCCGGTTGTTTTCCCACCATTTTGCACCGCAACGGCCCGGCCCGGCCCGGCCCGGCTATGGCACCTTGCCACCACTGAAGAGCACCTCCTCACTG